GAATAACTGCCTCTGATTCGCACAACATGTATATTCTTAATGATCTGTTACTGATCCGTCTTTTGGTTGGAAACCATTTTGTTTTGCTACAGCCCAAAGCAGCGGTTCTTTTATATTGAAGAAAGCTTTCTAAGCTTGATATTTATCTGAAAGTGTGTGTGTTTTTTAAATAATGTAATATTTGAGGCAACAAAGAAATTTTAATTAGTTGGACTGAGGGCAAGAATGGTTAGGCATAGTGGCAACAGCTGCTCTCTGGTCTGATTACACACATTTTTTGCAGATCATCTTATGTACTGCCTTAAGGAGCTTGGTTTTTGATGGTGAATCCTTTATTTGTTATTATAGTTACTAAAGGATAAATGGACGGAAAAAGTTCCTTTACACCCTGAACCCATCCTTACTGTACTTACACTGCAAAAGCTATCCAGAAATAAATAAAAATGTCTTAGATTAAGTGTATTTACCCTTTATTTTAGTAGGTAAATTAGATGATTTGCCAATGGAATTACTTTTTTTGCTCTTAAAATAAGAGTTAGTTAATATGCACTTGAAATAAGACAATAAAATATATTTTTTTCTTATTTTAAATGTAAATTGTCTTATTCCATCTGCAAAATGTCTCACTTGCCTCCTCAATTCAAGAAAAAAGTACTTGTTTTAAGAAAAAAATATCAGATTTCCATTTTTTGCAGTGTACACCATCCAAACCACACTTATAGTATAGTTCAATGCCCCCTGTAGTTGCGGACCTAGAGTTTAATGACCTCTGTTCACTGCCTATGCTGGGGGAGGATGGAATACAGCCTTCCTCCTGAAATCTTCACCCAAACAAAACAAGTCTAAAGGTTTTAAAGGTTAAAGGTTTATATATCAAAACTAAAGGAGTCTGACTGACTGATCAGTCGTAATGATTTATTTAATCTAAATCCAATCCAGTTTATTTCTGACGTGCCTTATCACTCTTTTCAGGAGTGGGAGTCGAAGAAGGGGACCTAGACTTTACAGAACCATGGAGAGCAAAGAGAAACCTTTTGTTTTGCTTGGAGAATGTGTAAAAGAAGCAATGAGAAGACCACATATTGGTGAAGACAAAGAGAAGAACAGAATAAAGAGGATAGAGTTTTTTTTTGCGTGTTTTCCTTTAACATAAAGGAAATGCACAAATATGGTGATGCTAACCAGACTACTGTAAATGTGACAGACTTGACCAATTAAAACCAGCGCAGTATTGATGTATGCTCTAACCAGGAGTTACACAGTAATTCGTGTTCATGCATGTTTACAGGGTTTTTTTTTTTTTTTTCACAAAGTTGCAAAATCAAGCATGTTGGACAGATGTTGGACAGACCTGCACAGTAAAGGGAGAGAAGGATGATTCTTACTGTAGGTTAGACAAACAGGGAAAGACTTCCTTCTGATATTCAATACATTTTATTTAATCAAATCATGTAAATGAAAATTGAAAGTGAAACCAAAAAAAAAATAAAAAATCTAAATTATCATTGTCTGTGGAAGAAATATATTAGTGTGACACTGTACCTGAAATAAATAAACCAATGTTTATTGCTGTAATGTGAAATGATTACCTTAAACATTGTATGTTTTTATAAATATATATAAATATAGATTCAACTTTTGCACTTTATGCTGTATTTGTAATTCGCTTACTGTTTCAGTTATAGCATACATTACCCCTTGTAGCCAAACTGTTTGAGAAGAAAAAAAATGCCTTGTCTGCTCATTATGGTCATTGCACAGATGTGAACAAACCATGCATATTGGAATAAACGATTGTTTTTAAGAGACTTTTCCTTTTTTATTGTCATTTTTTTTTCTGTTTAACTTCCTAAGCCTTCTGAATGGTCATATAGTCTAAATGAGGAATCTAGAGTTAAGTTAAAGCATGCACCTAAAAGCACCATCTGGTGGTGAAACCAAAATAAAACAGGTACAGGACCCTAATTTCAAAATATTGTATTTAATAGATGCTATCTTAATGCTTTTGTTCCCTTTTAAAAGCAGCCTTTGCTTTTCCCTCTCTTTTGTCTTCATCAGAAGTTCTCCTCGGTTTCGTTTAAAAGGACATTATGTGTAGTGAGAATGCCTTGTTGGCTGCAGAAAGGCTGCTTCTCAGACAAAATGTTTGATCGAATAAGTTGGCTTACTTAATGTCCAATAAACCTATAGTCAGAAGTTTGCATTCAATTATAAATGTAACTAATTTCAGATTTATTTTGAGCTTTTAGTTATGAGTGTAGCCATTTGATGGTTGTATGATAATACAAAGAAATGGTTTTATGACAAAAACATTTTTATTTTGTAGTTTTGAATGAATGACTGTCATGCCTTCATTGCCACTCTACCTCGTAATTTGATTCAGATTGTACTGCGGCCGCTTCTATTTCAGAAGCTCAACGTTAGCCAGGTTTAACCAGTCTAAAACCAGTGTTCCTGTGTAATTATCCTGATTTTATTCCTCCTTCCCTGTAGGATACAATATCACAGAAATGCTGTTGTCTAACAGTAGGGAAGATTGTGCATGGCAGTTGCAGAGCAAATGAAAGCATAATGATACACAATAGAATAATCTGTACAGCAAAGGAAGACACGTCTCAGAAAAGATCGAATAATCAGATCAAACGAAAAACATTCATATTTCACCAATTCGGTGTAATGCAGCAGCAAGAGTCTTGGCATAATGATGCCACTGCCTTGCTTTAGTTTTGGGCTTGAAAGCCTCATCCTGACTTCTGTTATTGTGGAGATATTTTAATCTTTTCCTCATCTGAACATAAGATGTTTTTCACTCAGTGTTCAGGTGTTGATTGGTTTATCGTTCTTGATCAGCAGTGCTTTAGTCCACTAATGTTTGACATTAGAATAATGGTTCTTTTGGTTTGTTAAAGCCATTTTCCTAAGAACTGTGAAAGGATTGTTTGGGTAAGATGTTTAGAAATTGGGACAATGATCCCAAACTAACATTAAAATAAATTTTGAAATGCTTCCTTATAGGCCACTCCAATCATTGACCTTAACATGATATAAAATTCATGGGTTATGATTAAAAGCTGCATTAATGGCAACATACTAACACAAATGGGTCAATTTAGATGATTTTTTGTTGTCTTAAAAAGAGAATGGTCAAAAATCCAGTCAGATGGATGCCAGGACTTCAGTGATTGCTTCAGAAAGTCCTTATTTGTGAAAATGTTTGAGTATACCGAAGTCTTTATGCATTCATCAATATCCATGTTGCTCTTGTGTTCCTGTCTCCTGTTTTGAAAATCTTTAGCAGCTGTAGCTTCTATCGTGAGTCCAACCTGAAAAAGGAATGTTTGAACAATGTAAACCCTAATGACATTTATATCACCCAGATGTGGATAAAACATAGACAAAAACAGGCTGTTTGCTTCTTTACAAAGTTTATTTAGTGCATTTCTAGTTTGTCCACAGCAGGAACCAAAATATGAAGTTAATCTGTGCTCCCATTGGTTTACCAAAGTTCTGGTTCAACACCATTGGTCCACACATGTTCTGGTGCAATACTATTGGTCCAGTAGTGTTCTATCACCCTCACATTGGTTCACTAGTGTTCTGGTTTCACACTATTTTCTCACTAGTGTTTTTCTTGTGGTTGTTAACATGAAAGACCTGGGAGGGAAGAAGGAAAAAAAAAAAAAAGGCCAGGGGGGGACCTTCAGCATGCTGCTACTAAGCAGAGGTCAACGAGCTTCCATGCAACAACAAACAAACAAACAAACAAACGGCAAAGGACGACAGCTACCAACGGAAAGATAAACAACAGTGTCGCCTGTAAGAAGTGAGCATGGAAGCATATACAGTAAACCTTACATGTGACCTGCTGAAGCCCTCGGGAGGTTCGTCTGATATATAACAGATCTTAAAAAGGTAGAAGACACATGCGTGTGCGCTCTCACACGCCTACTGCAAACACAGCTCTCACACGCTCACGCATACACACGGGCGCACATGCATGCAAACGTAATGATCCTCATACTTTTACAAGGAATTGCGTCCGTCGTTTTTGAAAATATGACTTAACCCCATGAGCTGTGTGTAAACATAGCATACAGCAGAGTACAGGCGCATTTCAATGAATTGATTCCTTTAGTTCAACTCATAACAAGAAATGAATGTAGATGCACATAGGGGGAAATGCATGACTTGTATTTAGGGGGAAAAAACCCAAACATGTCGAATTCACACAATTAAAATATGATCTAAGGGTGTTTTTTTTTGTATCCATACAGCTTGTACAGCTCTTTTCTACCACAGTTTTTCCTTCCTCCCTATTTTCCAATATGCTAGATTACAACAGCCAGCTCATCATTGATTAAACATGTTCTGGTTTTCCCTTGTTTTTCTGGCCTAGAGGCCAATGAAGACTGCTGACTTAACAGCTAACCAGTAGACATTCTCTGATAACCTCCAAAAGTAGTGAAAGCCATAAAATTACTGCTTAGGAACCTGGCTGTGCACAAAATTTGTAATTATTTTTGGGTCCAGTCTGGGTGGGGGGAGGTTGTGGTTTTTGAATGTGTATAAAGTTGATAAAACGTCTTTTGTAACCATGAAGACAATCTATTGTTTCTACCTCTGACTTTTCAATAAAAAGATTTTGAAAAAAAAAAAAAGAGCCTGGCTGTGTAAAAAG